CGCCCCGCCCCTCCGGCTCCGGGTCGCTGAGCCCCGGCGAGTGGTTCGGGGCGCGGCCCTGCACCTGTGCGTTGCCTGGTGGGGCTGCGCGGGTGGAGAGACACCGAGGTTCCCGCCCCCGCTACGCCCCGGGCATATTGTGACTGAGGGACCGGGTGTCGGCGGCTTTCCCCGGGACCTTGTTGTGCAAACGCTCAGGATCCATGTGCAATTCCAGGATTCTCAGGCAAGGGAGGCTCACCTGGACTTGTTGATGCCTGTGTAGCAACCCGAATGCCTCCAGGTGTAAAGGCTGTGGCAGATTCGAAACTCGACGGCCAAGAACTTTACCCTCTTAGAAAGTGTCTGTCAGGACACTTTGATTACATCCCCCACCCTCGCCGGTACCATAAGAGAGCGTTGATACTTTAGCAGCAAGGGCGGGAGCTTTTGAGTCTGGCTCTCAAGCCTGCCTGCCATTTGCCAGCTGTGTAATCTTGGGCTTCAGTTTCTTTATTAGAAAAATTCGGATAATACCTATCATATGGGGTCGTTGTAAGTTGAGAAGGGCTGGTAAACCAGTTTGTATTTAAGCACCAGCCCAACTTGGCTTTGTCAGGATCTCTGTCTCTCTTCTCGGTATTTTATAGCAGCAGTTTGGTGGACAGTCAGCCGCTTACCAGCCGTACTTAACATGAAGTGTGCGTATACAGGAATGTGAAATACATCACTTAAATGTAATAATGAAATTACACCTAGCTTCATATGTTTTTACGTACTATTTAAATCCATAAGATGTCTGAAATGGCCCCAAGTTGCCAAGTTTTGAGGTCTTTTCAAGATCTTTTCTATCTCAAGTCAACGCCTGTAACATTACCTTTGTTTTATGCATTTTAAAACCTTTAAAAGACCCCCGAAACCCTCCACATTTCACTTCTGCAGTGTACTGTTGAAAAGCAGCCACCTCCCAGGGATGTGGTGGTACAGCCAGCTGGCCCACAGCCCCATGACTGCAGGGTGGGGAACCTTTGGTTGAAAGTTATTACTAAGTTTGCCTAATGTCTTTTGCATTTTTCATAGTGAATCAAAGGGCTTTGTGATGTTCGGTTTCTTAATGAAACAATTTAGAAAGAAATCATTACTGCTTTTTTCAAAAACATGCAAAGAAAAACTGTAGTCTAGTTCTAGCATTTGTTTCAGTTCTTTGCCAATAACTTAAGAGCCCCTCTTTAAAGAGGCTTCCAAAAGTCACATCCATTAGGATTATTTTGCTTAGAGTAAAATTATGAGATGTAAATTACAGTAATAAGTATTCTATTATCCAAAAGTATTAATTGCAGACTTTCCATGACCCTAGTATGCTGCCAAGTGCTGTGAAGAAGGGATTCAGAAGAAGTATAAGACAGCATCTCAGCCCATAAAGGGCAAAACCATAAAGTTTGGGTCACCCAGTAGTAATTATGGGTATTACTTAAGTAATGACTTCATTCATTCATTTATTCATTCAACAAACTTGTACCATACCTGTAACGTGCCAGGTATTTTTCTAAAAGCCGAAGTTATCAAGATAAGTGAGATGTAGTCCCTGCTCCTGAGGAGCTCACAGTCAGTCTAATGGGAGAAGCAGAAATTGACAGATAACTGTAACACACTGAAATAAACTCAAAGTACAAGCCCAGAACAGTATGGGAGAGTCAAAGGAGCTTTTCCTTTTCACTTCAAAGAGAAGGTGGTGTTTGATCATTCCAAACACAAGTAACTGAGCTTGGAAAGATTTCCTGACAAATCTTCTGACCAAAGGTATAAGCCCAAGGGAAGAGGAAGGAAACTGACATTCCTTGTTGCCCACTATGTAACAGGCATTAAGTAAGGCTTTTAGTGTATTATTTAACCTCACAACAACCCTATGAAGTAGATTTTTATCTCCACTTTAGGACAGGGAGACTGAGGCTCAGGATAGTTAAATAATTTGAGGTTAGTTGACAGTGCCAGGACTTGAATCTCTGACTTAAAAGTGTAGTATGCTCTTTTTTCCCCCATACTCTGTAGAAGTAAATATAAACGAGGTGAGAAAGTTCTACCTACGTAAGTCATTTTACTACATCTATTACAAATTACTTTCTATGAAATAAATGTTCATACTTGATTTAGAGTTACTAAAGCTTTATAATAAAGACTCTCTTTATCCAGTGGTATTTTTTTATATGCTTATAAATGTGGTGGCATTTGCTAAAAAGTGTGGCCCATGGAAACAGTAAAAATGGAAGACATTGATACACACAGATTCTATATGGGGCATTTTACAAAATTCTTAAACAAAAATGGACTTTTCTTGAGACCGCAGCTTAAATATACAAAGAATAGGATATCAGACATATGGCCAATTAAATAGACAATGAAAGGGGTAAAATAGTTTTGAACAGTTAAATTTTACAAAGGGGAAATTAGAATTTTGAAGTCATTTACAAAGAATATTGTATTATGTTTTAAAGAGACCACTGTGACAAGATCCTATACTAGACTGTCAGCTCCATAAAGACAGGGGTGTTTCTTTTATTCCCAGCTTCAAGAGCAATTCTTGGGACATATAGATGCTCAGTAAATATTTGTTGAATAAAAAATGAACGTGAACAAATATATATTTATAAAGACTAGTGTGTTTATGAGTAAAAATGCTAGGGTTGATAGTTAGAATTGACATAATATGGAACATTTTCATCTGCTGAGAAAAAACTTCGTATAGGTTATATTTCAGATGGTCTTTGAAAAAGGGAAGAAAACATTGATAGATTACAGATGAAGTGGTATAAATATGGGGAGTGGTTTATAAATGGATACATTTCGGAAGAAAAGGAATATTGAACAAAGGGAATGGCCCACTAACACAATTAAAAATATAGGCATTTTTTTTTCTGAGCATTGTTTGTGTCATTTATTTTTTTCAAAGTTCATTTTTAAAAACAGAAGCCAACCCAGAATGGCAGATGCTATGCTGAGGAAAATCAAGGATCCTAGATTTGAATCATGTCTCTGCTCATAGATCATTCTGTGACCTCTAACTGCATTAGTTTCATCATCTGTAAAAAGCTGATAACTACCACCGGTCGCCGGGCTGCGACAAGGGTCAACCAAAAGAACTGTTTAATTTTAAGACACTTTTTATTTTTAAGTCCTTACTGGAGATTTGGGAATCAAGGACAGTCTCTACTTTCATGGAGCTTAGAGTTTCAAAAAGTAGATGTGTTAGCTATCTATTGTTGCGTAATAAATTACCCCAAAAGTTAGTGTTTAAGACAACAATAAACATCTCAGAGTTTCAGTGAATCAAAAATCTGGGAGCAGCATGGCTGAGTGGTTCAGGCTCAGGGCCTCTCAAGAGATTGCAGTGATATGTCAACTGGAGTTGTCATCTGAAGGCTTGACTGAGGCTGGCGTATCCTCTTCCAAGGCTGGCAACTCCTCTTCCAAGGCTGGCAACTCATGGCTGGCAAGTTGGTGCAGGCCGTTGGTGGGAAGTCTCAGTTCTCTATGTGCGTCTCTCCATGGAGCTACTGGAATGTCCTCATGGTAGGGTAACTGGCTTCTCAGAGCAAATAATCCAGGAGACCGAGTTGCATTGTCTTTTATGACTTAGCTTCCGAAGTCACATACTGTCATTTCTCTAGTATTCTATTGGTCACACATTGTGGAAAAGGATTACACAAGGATGTGAATACCGGGAGGTAAGGATCATTAGGGGCCATCTTGGAGGCCGGCTACCACGTTGAGTATGATAGAAAAATAAGTGTTGGAGGAAGGTAAAAAGTACGGGGAGAGGAGAGGGAAGGATTACTTTTGGGGAGATGGGGGAATTGGGAAAGATTTAATTCTTTTAACAGATATCTGCAGATATTTATTGAGTGTTTACTGTGTGCCTTCCACATGGTAGACTAATATGTGGAAGTGAACACTGAATTAGGGCCATACGAAATGTCTTATGTATAATAGGCCAGCATTTACACTGAGGACAAATATTTGATCTCTATAAGGTGAGGGTGGAGTAATTTTTCTGGTATTAATAATAACATATAGTAACTTATCAGACCGATTAGTAGTTATAGAGTGTAAGTAAAGAGTGTAAGTACTAGGGCCAGACTTCTGGATGTTAGCACGACTTCCGGTTTGTGACTAAGATACTCTTTGCTACTTTTTCTTAGTGACTCACTAACTGTAAAATGGGAATAATCTGCCTGCTTTATATCGCTGCTGTAAGGATCAAATAAGTTAAAAATATATCAGGTTTGTGGAACAGCTTTACATGTATCATCAGTATCGTTTATTAATTTTTGGCATAGTGTAGTACATGTGTGAATGAGGTTGGAGTCAGAGATGAGTGAATGTAGAATGATGTGAGTATTCAGCAACAGGCATGTAAATGTCAGTCATGGCTGCTTCTGTATCAGTTTTTCCAGTTCAGGTACTTAAGTCTAGATAATTTTTATTTTATAAAATAGAGTGAACCAGTGATTTTATTTAGCTGAACTCCAAAATTAAAATAAGACCACAGGAGTACGCTGTTGCCTGTTAAGGGCGTATCATACCTTCTTGTCCCTCTAAATTACTAGGCCCTCTGCAGAATGGATTTAGCTGGTAGCAGTACTTAAGGTGTATATGCTTCAAAAGAGCTTAGAGGTGGAACTAGGACGTAAAGTAAAAACACCTAGAACGAGAGATTGTTA